TATCGATAACCTAATTAATTATATGGACGAGCATGTTTCAACAAAAATGGCAATTTCGTCACTTTCGTCAATGTGAAATTAATTAAGGATGATCTTATTACTTTTAGCGACAACCAAGTATCATCATAAAAATGAAAATATCTTTAGTTCGTGAATTTGAAAATACATTACCGATGACCTTATTAATTTCAGTGACGACTATATGTCGTCGGAAAAAAATAATGTTGCCAGTTTCTTCAACAACAAAAAGTATTAGAGACGAAATTATTAATTATCGCGATGATTCTTTGCCGTAAGAAGAAACATCTACCAAGTTCGTCAAATTCAAGATGCATTAGAGATGATTTGTAGCTGTCACAAAATAGCTTTTGTGACGGCTTGTAACACTTTTTTTTTTTGTGACGCTAGTATTTGGAACGGAGTGCGACGAATTTGTGGCGTCGCAAAATCCTATTTGCGACGAAATATAGCTTTTACTAATGGATTTCCCTAGTCACTAATGAGAGACTTTTTTGTAGTGATATGGACTAAGAAGAAGAGAGAAGAAAGGATATCATGGATCAAGCGAGTAATTGGCTTGACGAATACTTGAGTTACCAAAAGTTGATTGTGGCCATAACAAACAGTATCACTTGAGGCCGCCGGAGACGGCAGAGGTGAAGATTGATATTGATGTGGCTTGTTTGGAAGGTCAGGGGACTAGATTTGGGGTTGTGGTGATGGATAAAGAGAGTAATTTTTTGTTGACAACATAGGGCGTACCAGGGTGCAGTGGAACCCTCTGATAACGAAGATCCTGGCGATCCGGTTTGGCTTGGCGATGGCGGAAGAAGGGGGTTTTTAACCAACGATTGTCAAGTCTGACTGTCAGGTGGCGATTCATTATCTCCACAGCACCAAGGCAACAAAGACAGAAAAAAGGGGGACATGTATTCTGAGTAGGCATGGCAACAAAACCCGAACCCACGATACCAACCCGACCTAACCCGGTCAACGTGGGTAAAATCCGTGTTGACGGGTTTTGGGCCGAGTTCGGGTTAAAACCCACTACACTATTCACCTGGTTGAGTTGAGTTTGAGTTTATGTTTAGGTAAACCCGCCCCATGGGTACCCGCCCACACACATATAATTACTTTTCCGGTATATTTAATATTGTAAATAATATATCTTCATTAAACAACTAATATTATTTATGTTTGTGGAGACATGTATAATCTGTTCTTTCTAATTGTTTAGAATGAAGTTGATATTATGGAGTGGAGAGTGAGGAAACTTAGTTGACGAGGAAGAAACTTTCAATGAGTTTCAATTAATCTTGTGGTTTATAGATGTTTATCTTTAATTTTGAACAATTTGTATTGATCATTTGCGGTTTGCTTGTATGCTCTAGATTAGTGTTTTTTGTATGAATAATTTGTATGAGAAAATTGATGTTAAACTTTTATTTTGAAAGAAACTTGTTATTGTAAATTTTTTACCACAAAAACCCACGGGTACCCATGAACCCGCGGATACCCAGTGGGTTGAGTTGGGTTTGAGTTTTTCAAACCCAACGGGTTTTACTCCGGGTTTTTTGACGGATAAACCCATGAATTTGGATTTGGGTTTAACAAAACCCGCCCCAACCCGACCCATTGCCATCCCTAGTTTTGAGGTTCGTGACGTGGTAATGTCATTGGGCTCGTTCTCTATTTTTTTTTCCTCGGGCCGAAACACTAATATGGCAGCCCACATAATGACTCATACACTTTGTAAATGGGACCAACAAGAGATTTGGGTTTCTAAACCTCCCATTGTCTTACTCCACCAACTTCAGTTGGACAACTGTACAATTTAAGATTATTAATGAATAATACAGGTTGTTTGATAAACACTATTTAAGAATAAACAATTATTTAATGATAAATACTATTTAAGGCTTTGTTGCAATTATGAGAAGTAACAATTACCCAAACCAAACCTACGACTCTCTGCACCTAGCAGAACAACTCCCACTCGTAAGCTACGAGTTCATCCATTGGTATCAGAGCCATGGTCCTGCACCTAGTGAGCACTTGAAGTGCACAATGCAGTGTCCCGCGGTACCGGTGCAAATTCAAGGGTCGGAACACTAGAAAAATCATAAAATATGACAAAGTGGGGTTGGTTACCCTATAAAAACTTTCATATCTAGAATACCTATACAAAAACACATACTTTACAAATATGAACGAAAATAAGCATAAATAACTTGATATCTGGCCTAGACACGGTGATTTAACATGCAAATGTCTTAAAAGTAAATGCTAAATAACGCATATTTTATGTGTTAGACACGGCGAAGATTGCAATCAAATGCCAATTTTCACTCTTTTTTAACGAGTTCTCTATTTTCATTTCAAAAAATTGACAATTACATCTCATCGACCATTTACACTTCCCTAATATGTAACCTGGTCGAGGATGGCTTCATCGCCACCAGATCTACTCTAGGATCGTATTAAACAAACGGAATTGACAGGTGAATCATGAAGAGTCTGAGTATGTATCTTGCTAGCCAATGGGAGATACCATATATGGAAAAAAAACTAGGGCGATAATTGGCTGCTGTCTGGGTTGCAGCCCATAGCTGCTACCCATTGACGTGGCAGCATATTATTGGCCCATGAAATGTTAATTAATTATTATACTTATTTGGAACAAAACGGGACGGAAACGGACGGAAACGGCTTCTTTCTTGGACCGGACGGAGAAGCAGCCCAACAGTGCTGTCTCTTTACTCTTTAACTTTTATTCTATTATTATTATATTTGTGATTTTGTTTTGTTAATTGATAAAAAAGGAGATCTAATAAAATTAAACACAGAGGTGCTTTAGGTTTTAGGTTTTATTGTGTACTCATTATCAAACCATCGCCGGCAGCATCTTGTCTTCAGCGCCTGCAACTGGAAAACTGCCTACGGTAACCATCTCTATTACTACTTCGACTGCCTTCGAGTTCGACGCTTGCTTTTTGAGATTCAGAGACCTCCAAATCAAGTCGAAAAGGTAAGATATGGATGCTAGGAGTTCATCTAAAACTAGTCTAATGAAATATGATGGTTTTGCTTTAATTAGAGCTGGCTTTGTTTTGCTGTACACAACCAACAGATATAAAACGTGAAGTTGTTCCTTTTTTATATGCTACAAAGGCTTTAGTTCGTTAGGTTAATAGTAATTCAATTTATTATGTTGCGGTTTGTGTTATGCAGGTTAGTTAACTTAGTGAAACTTGGACTCCCTGTGAAGAGGAACACATATGAGTTCTAAACCAATTCCGGAAAAGGTTGAAGTGCCATGTATAGGTATGAAGTTCGATGGTGATGAAAGTGCTTATGAATTTTATAAAGCATATGCCCACAGTATTGGTTTCAGTGTAAGGAAGGACTATATAAAGCGAAATCAAGCAGGACAGGTGAAGAGAAGAATATTTTGCTGTTCTAAAGAAGGTGAAAAAGGTTTTGATAAAAGGCGTGAGCATGTAGCTTTTGAGCGGCCAATTTCAAGAATCGGATGTTTGGCACATATGACCTGCCAACTAAAAAATGATGGCTTGCTAGAGGTTGTTTCTTTTGAAGCAGATCATAACCATGAACTTGCCCCCACTCCCATGAAGCACATGTTGAGATCCAACAGGAAGATAAGTTATGCTCAGAAGGCTATTGCAGATGATGCTGAGAGAGCTGGGTTACCAATCAAGGCAACTATTGATTTACTAGCAATACAGAATGGAGGCCGTGAAAACAACGGGTTTCTAGATTCGGACTATAGAAACTATATTGCAACACAAAGAAAGGCTACAATGATTAAGGGAGATGGTCCAACAATTATGGATTATTTTCGTAAAGCACAATTAGAGGATCCATCATTTTTTTATTCGGTGCAACTCGATGATGATAATTTCATCATGAATATGTTCTGGGTTGATGGTAGGTCAATCATTGACTACAAATACTTTGGAGATGTTATATGCTTTGACACCACTTATAGTACTAATGAATATGGTCGACCTTTTGCTCCATTTGTTGGAGTCAATCATCTGAAGCAGACAGTAATCTTTGGGGCAGCATTACTCTATGATGAAACAATCACTTCGTTCAAGTGGTTGTTTGAAGCATTTTTGGGTGCAATGGATGGAAAGCAACCTAAGACCATATTGACAGATCAATCAGCTGCTATGGCGAAAGCAATCGAAGAGGTATTTACTGAAACTCATCATCGTTTATGTGTTTGGCATATTTATCAAAATGCTGCTAAGCACTTGAGCCATGTGTTTCACGGATCCGACCAATTCGCTAGTGATTTTAGTTCGTGTATATATGATGGTGAAGATGAAGATGAATGGCTTAAAGGTTGGGATGATATGCTTAACAAGTATGGTCTGGGGAACAATGAATGGTTGCATGGTATATTTTCAATAAAAGAGAAATGGGCTATGGTTTATGGACGTCATATGTTTACTGCTGATATGAAAAGTACACAGCGTAGTGAATCAATGAACAGTGTGTTAAAGAAGTACCTGAAGCCGAAACACAATATGACAAACTTTTTTTACCATTATAACAAGTTGGTACAAGATAGAAGGTACCAAGAACTGCTTGCAGAGTTCAAAATGAGGGACACCCGCCCTGTGTTAAAAGCTGACGTTGAGATGTTAAGGCATGCATCAGAAGTGTACACTCCAAAAGTGTTGAAGTTGTTTGAAGAAGAATATCTGAAGGTTTGGGATTGTACGATTGATAAGATTAGAAAAACCGAAGGTCGGACGGAATATAAAGTGAAATATCTTGGTAGAGGTGCAGGGCATCATGTCTGGTTTGAGTCTTCATCTCAAGTAGTTGAATGTAGTTGCATGAAGTTTCAGTTTGTGGGGATTTTATGTGCTCATGCTTTGAAGGTTCTTGACAAGAAAAATATAAAGCACATCCCAAAGCAATATATATCAAAGAGATGGACAAAGGATGCAAAAGATGGGGATATGAGAAGTTCAGTTCGAGTGCAGGGAAGTTCTGAGAAACTCATTGGGAAGCGTTACTTCAATTTGCATTATGATTTTCGGGAGATATCTGCACTAGCAGCTGAGAGCGACAAAATGTATGAGCATGCAAGTGAAGTTTTTTCAAATTTGCTAAAGGATTTGCAGGTAATGAAGAAGTGCTCAAATGGTGGAACTTCTAATGAGATATTATGTTCTAATCATGAAGAAGAGTATCCAACTGTAGCCGGAGTTAAGTTAAAAGCTACTGTTGGACGACCAAAAGGAAGATTTAAAGGTGCATTAGAGAGACAAAAAAGTCACAAAGTTCAATCAAAACCAAAGGTTCTTCCCTTGTATGTTTCTACAATATAAAACTATTATACTATTTGTTTATATTAGTTATTCACTGTATATTATTTATTATGTGCAGGGTAAGAAGGTGAAAATTGGTTCTTTTCAGCAAGTAGAAAGCAGTACTGAACTGCAAATACAAAATAATCAGGTTTTCCTTTGTCTAGTTTATATATCAAAGAAATATGATAGTATTTTTATAATGAGATAAATGAAAATAGCATATGAATCATATATTAACAATTGGTTAATTTTAGGTGATGAACAAACATCAGCTTCAAAGATCAATTGTTAGTTCAGCTGGAGAAAACTTGGAGTCTACACCTTGTGTAAGCGATATGTCATTCACACAATTGTTACAGGTACGAACTCCATATTATTATTTATTTAATAAGTTCAATTTTATTAGAAATTTCAAGACTAATATAATTCTTATCTCCATTTTTTTGCAGGATGTCATATCAAACCCACAAGCACATGGTCCTGAACACTGATAATGTTTGTTTTTTCTTGGTACCTTAGTAGGATTATTATTATTATTATGTTTGAAGAGGTTATTTTCAAATAATTAATTTTAGCATTTAGGGATGAATTTGGTACTTTCTTTTTTATGCTGGTGATCATGTTGGTGAAACTATGACCGTATGTGATGTTTATTATGTTTGAAGAGGTTATTTTCATAGAATTAATTTTAACATTTAGGGATCAATTTGGTACTTTCTTTTTCATGTTGACGTTGGCCAAACTATCGCCGTATGTAATATTGTACATAATATTATATCATATTGTACATAATATATATTATATCATTCCTCTCAATATATTCTTTATATAAAAAAACATCCAGAAGGTGAAACTATGGCGGTACGCCTGTACGTGATGTTTAAAAAAGAGACCTGGAGGTCTACTATGTTAGGCTAGAAAGCAAGTAATAAAGCATGGGAGTGCTGTGCAAGCGTCGAACTCGAAGGCAGTCGAAGTAGTAATAGAGATGGTTACCGTAGGCAGTTTTCCAGTTGCAGGCGCTGAAGACAAGATGCTGCCGGCGATGGTTTGATAATGAGTACACAATAAAACCTAAAACCTAAAGCACCTCTGTGTTTAATTTTATTAGATCTCCTTTTTTATCAATTAACAAAACAAAATCACAAATATAATAATAATAGAATAAAAGTTAAAGAGTAAAGAGACAGCACTGTTGGGCTGCTTCTCCGTCCGGTCCAAGAAAGAAGTCGTTTCCGTCCGTTTCCGTCCCGTTTTGTTCCAAATAAGTATAATAATTAATTAACATTTTATGGGCCAATAATATGCTGCCACGTCAATGGGTAGCAGCTATGGGCTGCAACCCAGACAGCAGCCAATTATCGCCCAAAAAACTATTATAAATGAATGCGCTGATTTTACTTGGTTTTTATTGGTTGGTTGATTGGTAAGAGAGACTAGTTTCAGAATTCACTATTTTGAAGACAATGCATAGTAGAGAGAGAGGGAGCCATTAAAGGTTTATATATATAGACACCTCCAATTTTTCGTTATGCTTGCTGCAATGGATGAATGGTGATTTGAAACTTGCTTATTCTTTGTTCTAGTTGTTCAAATCGAAAGGTAACGCAACTACTTCTAAACTTCGGAAGCAAAAATCTAGACCTGTATGCAGTAGTTCAGATCTCCAACCAGTACACAGGGGAGAGTGGTATAAGATCTATAATTAGCATTTTTTCGAAAAACTCTAAGATCAAATTATTCATTAGTTTTTCTCTTTCGACGAACTAAAGATCGATCATCATCTTCACCTTCATATTGAGACCAGAAGTCCGAAACCAATAACAAACAACCTATCACTTATTTATGACTTAATTCCACCTTTAAGTACTTACATAGTTTTTAACCAAGAGTTCCTTTATCCATGGTACTTTAAGAAAATCCAATTATCAAGTGAATGACCAATGTCTCATTCAACTTTTACCCAAGGAAAATGCTCTTAATCATGCATGGGAAAAGGCGCGCCCATGCCCACAAAGTAAATGCAGAAAATGAGCTCATAACATCAGAGGGTGGATGGGCCAGGCCCATACCATAGGGACAGACAATCTCCTGCATCAAGTCCATACAGTTTAGGCAATTGCTTAATGACGAAATAAACCAATGCCCCAAAAGCAGTCAGTAGGATTAGAATCCGAAGACCAAGCTTGAGACCCATCTTCGATCGCCTCCATATCATAATTTTGACATTGCTGTAGTAACAATCGTTAACAGCCTCTATCTCGGAATCGATCGCCGTCTCGCCTCCCCACGTCGCCACGCCGGCGCCGGCACAAGCACTAATCCGGCCAAACAGTTCCACGACATTCTTATCATCACCACCATCATCAATGACTAATACTCCGGCTTCTCTGAGCAGCTTAGCGTCTTTGGGGGACCTAATCAAACACCGCATTAGCTCCACGTATCTGGTCAGGAGTTGGGGATGCTGGCTCCTCGCCAAGGATTCGTAGGCGACCAGGTTTTTCATTAGCACTTCGCAGTTGGGTTTGATTGTGAACGCCACGAGGCAGAGTGTTGTCCCCTGTTTGTCGAAGCTGATCGTAATTATCCTACCTTCCGACGGGTTGGGCCTGCAGAGGAATTTCACGCCGAGGCCACGAGCCAGCTGGGAAGCGGTAGGGATCAAAGCCTCCTCTTCTTGTAGATATCGGTCGAGGAACTTAAAAATCCCCAGGTCGAGGCACCAGGACAACGCGCCACCCAACCAGCTACCACCTACCGTCAGTGCAGTCAAAAGTAAGTCGCGTAAATTTTAACAAAAATTTGAAACCGTAGTAAACTTTAAAGTTTCAAACCAATCAAACTACATTCAAATTGCAACCGCCGATTAATGCGTTTGGAAGTGTTAGATTTTGTTGTAAGAGAAGCGGCGGCGAGAAAAGGCCGATTACCTGCTTTTTTGGCGGCAAACTTCAACACGTCAATCGCTTCACCGTTGTCGCCTCCATTAGATATTTGCCCGATCAGCAACCCAGCAGGGACCGTTTCCATTATCCAGGCAACGGGGCTCGAATGGGAAGACTGTTCCGATGAACTGGTTGTCGAAGCGTCGCCAACTATCCGGAAGTACAAGTATTCCAACAAATGCCCAGGGAGGCGGCGGCAATCCTCCGGCGCGGCCTGCTGCAATTTGATGGGAGAAATTCGGTCACAAACGCGAGCCAAATCAAGCTGGCAACATGCGCGATCCATGAGCCAAAATAAGGGGATCTGGTTTTCCAGCATCAGGGCATCGTTCATCAGAAGGGATCCCAGCCGGCTCGATTTCTCGGACTCTACTTCCGCCGAGCAAGATTCAGAAGAACCGGCCGTGAACAGCAATAGTTCCAACAGGAACAGGCAATCAATTGCTATGAGGGACCCGAGAGCCGAATCGCTTATGTCGAGGATGCGTGTCGCGTCGCCGTATTGTGCCCGGATGAGCGGAAGCAGGGGCGCCACCACCTCGCCGGTGAAAGCACGGAAGTCGTCGAAGCCTGAGAGCCGCCGCAGGCCCTGTTGGATGAAGCGGCGCTTCGTGGCCGTCAATTCCCAGAGTGGAGCCTGGAAATGGTGAAAGGGTCCGAGACCCACCATCTGGGGAGAGAAGGATTGGGGATCAGAGGCCTTGACCGATTCAGGGATCCGGAGAATCGACGGAATCAGTTGAGGAAGGTCCAGATCGAAGACATCTCCGATATGCTTCGCCCATTCCGTCTCCGTGGAAGCGTATTTCAGGATTGAATCTGCATAACATGCCATTTTCTTGCCCTTCCCTTCCCTTCCCTTCCCTTCCCTTCCCTTCCCTTCCCTCAATTATTGAATCTGCATCGACATCCACATCCAGATCCAGATCCAAGCCATTAATTTAATTTTCCGATGAAAGTCGTCGAAAATATTTAACAAAGACTAGGCCATCTATATGTATTTAATTTCCTTCGCCGGCGCTTATATGGGTTAAAGAAAGTAATCTGGTCTAGTGACAGAGGAAATACGATGGAAGCAGGTAGTGCTAATGTGCAGACCGATGAAATGGCAATGGAAAGCTGGGAGCTTCGCATTTTCCCGGTACCGGAGTCACTGAGAAACCTCAAGACTGAAGCCTACGCTCCCCGGCTGATCGGGATGGGTCCATTCCACCATTTCCGGCCCCGGCTGTACAAGATGGAGGCTCACAAGCTGGCCCTAGCCAAAGGCGGCCTACAAAGATTCCAAATCCCCGACTTCCAAGCCTTGGTCCGCGAGATTCACCCTCGAATCCCACGAATCCAGGCCTGCTACAACGATTGCCCCGGCCTCGGCTTGCGTTCCGAGACGCTGGCGATGGTAACCGCCATCGACGGTCTCTTCTTCTTCGAGCTGATCCTCGGCGACGACACTGATCTACCAGGGCTCTGCAAGCCACCGACCGGCGGCGGACAGTACTTCTTCGAGTACCTCGAGCCGTTTAACTTTTCTGCGACCGGCAAGATTATCGCCGACATCTGCAGGTCGTTTGGGCGGCCTCTGTCCTTTGATCCAAGAGCCGCCGCAGGGAGGAAGCCGCCTCTGCATTCCATTGCCGTAAACGACATGCTTTTGCTGGAGAACCAGATCCCGATCTCCATTGTTGCCGAGGCGCTGGCCAAATTCCGGCCCGACGCCGGCCGAGTGTTGATCCGCCATCTGGATTCGTTTTGTCGGCTTGTCTCTCCGATAGCCCTGCTGAACCGGGAGAACGACGTTGACCTGGACCTGGAGGAGCCTCCCTTGCATCTGCTGGAGTATTTGTATCGGAAGCTCAATGGCGATGAAGCGGAGCGGGATGGAGTAGTTGCCAGGATCCCGGTGGATCAAGATCTGGATATCCACCATGAAATTTTACATTACGTCCCCGATTGCTTGTGGGTGGGGAAATCAAGAGGTTAGTACCAATCCACGTTAGTAGAAACATTTTGGTGATACATAACTAACGTCTAACCATAACCATAAAATCTTTGTGCTTTAAAGTGCAATTTTGACTATCTAAAAGTAGGAGCTATTCCCATGAGTAACAAACATTTAATTTTCTCTCTTTAATGTTTAACGTACGATTCTCTCCTGTTTTAAGTCGGAATTTAAATTTTTTTACACCGATAAATCAGATTAATTGTGCTCTTCTAAATAATATCCACTTTGATATATTTTTGTAATAAAAAAATTGAGGCATTTTTCACCACTCTATACCATGGTGGTATTGATTGGTATTAAATAAGAGCGAATCATATAGTATGAAAATGTACCATGGTGGTATGAACATACCAAGATTGTAGAAGTGTTGAACACATCATAGTAGGAGTATACTAACGGTCATTTACCACTTTCAACATTGTGTACCACAAGATACTGTTGGGCACTAGCGTAAATGTAATGGGTTTAGGATCGAAAATTTAGAGGAATTGGATTTTATTTCACTCAAACTATTTTTGCAAACACTTGGCAATTATTGCCCGATACAAGAGACACTCAAATTTGCTCACCCACTCACTCTCTACTACTTTGCTTCTTGCTCTTTCTCTGATACATTACAAGCTTAACAAGGTCTCTATTTATACTACTCCAAAACCTCCTTAGAGAAACTTCTAGGTAGCTTAATAATTAGGGTAGTTGCTAACAGACTTGTTCTTGTGGTGAGCCTTTTTTTTTTCTTTGTTTAATTGCAATGGGTAGTTAGCGATGGATAAGCATGAGCAGATTTTTTTTGTTATCATGTCTTGAGTATTCTGGAGATATGTAAACTATTGTAGAATGATTGAGTAGCTTGTAGAGAATTGGGGATTAGATAGTTTCACACCCCCTCTTAATCCGCAATTCGTAGTTGCTCTTTGAACCTCTCGAATTTCTCTTGGGTGACTGATTTCGTCATGATGTCCGCAGGCTGATCGTTGGTGTTGATAAACTCCATTGCAATTTCTCCATTACTGACAAGGTCCCGTATGTAGTGATGTCATAGCTCAATGTGTTTCGACCTTGCATGAAATACTGGGTTCTTCGTCATTGCTATTGCTGACATATTGTCGCAATGGATTATGGTAGGATCATCATCTCCCTGTTGTAGACCAGAGATTAATCTCCTCAGCCAGACTACTTCACAAGCTGCATCTGTAGCTGCAATATACTCAGCTTCTGCTAATGACAGTGCGACGGTCTTCTGCTTCTTCGAGCTCCATGAAATTGGTTTTGAACCAATGCAGAAAATATATCCTAATGTGCTTTTGCGATCATCAACATATAGGCAGACAATTAGGAAATCCTTGCCTTCTCCTTTCTTGATATAGAGTGATGCTTCATTTGGACTTCTTTGAAATTCTTCTTGCTGAAAGTAGCGATCAATTCTGCTATTCCATGCTCGAGGTGCTTATTTAAGTCCATATAGCGCCTTTCGAAGTCGGTAGACTTTATCTTCTTCTCCTTTCTTCTTGTATCCCTATGGTTGCTCCACATACACTTCTTCTTCGTGTTCTCCATTTAGGAATGTAACTCCAGTTGTGCTGCTAAGGCAAGAACAGTTCTGATGGTTTCCATCCTGGCCACTGGTGCATATGTCTCGTGAAAATCTATGTTAGGCTGTTGTGTATAGCCTTTTGCCACCAATCTCGCCTTATGCTTCTAGATTGATCCGTCCTCGTAGAACTTGGTCTTGTAGATCCATTTTAGACCTACTACTGGCTTGTCTTTTGGCTTGTCCACGAGCTCCCATGTTTTGTTCTTCTCGATCATCGAGATTTCTGCATCCATGACCTTCGTCCAGGCTTCTTCTTTCACAGCTTCTTCAAATTATTGCGGCTCACAAGAAAAATAAGCTACGTGACCAGCATCATAAATATCTTGTAAAGACCTTATCTTTCTTGGAGGTGTATCTGAGTCTGTGACGACATCTCTGAAGTCGTCTTCGTGTGGACTGCCACTTGGACTTGAGGGTGGATATCCTTTGTTGTTATCGGCATCTTCTGAAGTTGTTTCCTTCAAAATTTCATATATTGGTGGAGATTGTGATGTTTCTGGCTCCCAACACCATTTTGACATTTCGTCGAAGATAACATCTCTTGAGATCACCGTTTCATTTTTCACAGGATTATAGAGTCGATATCCCTTGGATTCATCACTATATCCAGTGAATATCAGCTTCTCTCCCTTTTGATCGAATTTATCTCGATTAGGGGTAGAGATATGAGCATAGGCTATGCGACCGAAAACTTTAAGTTGATTAACTTGCGGCTTTCGGTGATGCCATGCCTCATATGGTGTCTTGTTACGCACTGCTTTAGTCGGTGATCTGTTGAGGATATAGATAGCTGTGTTGACAGCTTCTGCCCAGAACTTGGTGGGTAGCTTCTTTCCTTTTAGCATGCTTCTGGCCATCTCCACGATAGTGCGGTTCTTTCGCTCTGCCACACCATTTTGTTGTGGTCTGTATCGAACTGTCAGCTTCCTCTTGATTCTATTTTCGCGACAGTACTCCATGAATGGTTTGTAGATGAATTCTCCCCCACGATCTGTGCGGAGTGTCTTGATTGGTCGACTGCATTTTTTTTCCGCTGCGGCTTTGAAGTGAAGGAACTTGGAGAATGCTTCTGATTTCTGCTCCCGGAAAAATATCCACATCATCCTTGTATAGTCATCAACAAACAGTAAGAAGTATCTTTTACTGCTTATTGATGACGTTCTTGTTGGCCCACAAATATCTGCATGAACTAGCTCCAGCGCTGCTCTTGCTCTCCAAGCAGTCTTCGGGAAAGGCAGGCGATGCATTTTTCCATAAATACATCATTCGCATATTTTGATATCTCTGTTGATGTTGGGTAGTCCGGTCACCATCCTCTTCTACTTCAACAAGTTTAGGCCTTTGAAATTCAAGTGGCCATATCTGAGGTGCCATAGGAAGGAATCATCCATCCTTTGGGCTTTCAATGCTACACCTGCACTTCTTGAAAGTACTAAGGGAAATATTCTACTGGAAGACATAGGTATTTTGGTGATAGTAAGACCATTGTTCTTGTTGATGATCTCACATGCGCCGTTGTCAAATAATAGCTTGAATTATTTTAGCATCAATTGGCCAACACTGAGGAGGTTTTGCTTCACATTAGGAACATATAGAACTTCTTGAACTTGAGTTTTGTTACTTGCCTCAGAGTTTACGACCACTATGCCAATTCCTTTAACTTCCAGTATAGTCCCGTCTCCAACCTTTACTTGAGAGCGGTAATTGTCGTCTATATCAGTAAAGGACTCCCTTTCTCCCGTCATATGACTACTGCAACCACTGTCTACCATCCATGGAATATGTAAATTTTTATCATCTTTGAGGCATGAGAGTGATACCTAAGAGATTTCCTCATTTTGAGTGAAACTGGCTTCTCCATCTTCTTTCTTCTTTTGGAACCAACAATCCCTTTGGGAGTGATTCTGATTTCTGCACTTCTTGCATTTAAACTTGCAGTCTCTTGCCGTGTGTCCCGACTTCTTGCAGATTATGCAGTATGGGCTACTGTTGCCATCAGATTTTTGTTGTTGGTTCCTCTGAAATTGGATTTTCCTCCTCTCCTTTGGAAGTTGCCCCCTCCGCGGTCCTGCTCCGGCTTTGTAATTTTGCTTTTAGCCATGTTGACTCTTGACTGAAAGGCTTGCTCCTGTGGTTGTTGATCAGTAAATCGCCTCATCCTCTGCTCATGAGCAATGAGTGATCCCATCAACTCAGTCATTGGTAATTTAGACAAATCCTTTGTCTCTTCAATGACTGTCATGACATGCTCAAATTTCTGGGACAAACTACGAAGAATTCTATCCACAATTTTTTTTCCTCGATAGTGTCTCCAGTTGCTTTTATTTGCTTAACTATCTCGGCTGTACGAGAATGAAAGTCTTTGATACTTTCAGTCTCTTTCATCGACAAATTGTCGAAGTCCCGCCATAAATTTTGGCGTTTGATGGAGATTGCCCGTTCATTGCCTTGAAATTCATTTTGAAAAACTTCCCACGCCTTTTTAGCATTTTTAATGCCAAAAATTCGAGGATATATGGTTTTGCTTACCGTCTGTTGGATTATCCGCAAGGCGTTGGCATTTTTACGGACATTCTCCTTGTATTGCTTCAGCTCAGATTCTGAAGCTTTGCTAGAGTCTCTCTCTGTCAAAACTTCCTCATAACTTCATTGAATGATATCCCCCAAGTCTTGAGCAATGAAGATGGTCTCCATTTGTTCGCTCTAAAACTCATAGGATTCGCCCTCGAAGATGGGAATCTGACTGGGAGTATTCACCAACATGGTGTTCGCTTGAGCTGCCATGGTATTTGGTGATTTTTATGGGTAGTGATTTGGGAATGGTTTAGGAGGATATGAAAAATGGTATAAGTTCTGATACCAAATTGTTGGGCACTAGTGGAAATGATATGGGTTTATGATAAAATTTTTAGAGGAATTGGATTTTATTTCACTCAAACTATTTTCACAAACACTTGGCAATTATTGCCCGATACAAGAGACACTCAAATTTGCTCACCCACTCACTCTCTACTACTTTGCTTCTTGCTCTTTCTCTCATACATTACAAGCTTAACAAGGTCTCTATTTATACTACTCCACAACCGCCTTAGAGAAACTTCTAGGTAGCTTAATAATTAGGGTAGTTGCTAACAGACTTGTTCTTGTGGTGAGGCTTTTTTTTTTTTTTTGCTTTGTTTAATTGCAATGGGTAGTTGGAGATGGATAAGCATGAGCAGATTTGTTTTTGTGCTCATGTTTTGAGTCTTTTCGAGACATGTAGACTATTATAGAATGATTGAGTAGCTTGTAGAGAATTGGGGATTAGATAGTTTCACAGATATCATCCCATACCAGGGTGGTATAGTATGATCTATAATTTGTACTATATATTTTTCGTGCAAAAATTTATAGATCTAAATCATGATGAACTCGTTCATTCTGTGCAAAAATTTTCAAAAATGACTTAAAACGAAGGAGATACTATATGATACTTGGTAATGAGAGGTATGCAAATTTTTTTCTCAAAAAATATTGAAAATGGATCTCATTATGTAGAGCACAACAAACTCGTTCCATCTGTGCAAAAAAAAATTAAAATCCGAGTTAGAAGGAAAAAGATAAGAGTCTATTAAGAAAACTAGAGAAAATAAAATGTCTTTAATTCAAAACCTTTAGATCTAAATTTTTTTGGACCGCTTAATTCCAAAGGTTCTGATTTGGTTACTCATGGGAAGTGGCAGATACATGGGCCTTTAGGACAACCTCTAAAACTTGGGAAACGATTATCCAACCTCTGGTAATAGTTTGGTGTGGATAAAAAAAATATAAATTGTAACCCGGGACACCCTTAAATTTTGGAAAAACATATATCCTATCCTCGGTAGTTTGCGCATAATTAAAAATTATAAGTGGTACTCTGTGTTATTCAAACCTAGAACACTAAAAAAGTATACACATTTGTTGAGCTGGATGTCGATTTTACATTCTTTTTCATAATATAAACACTTCGTGGCCTTTTGTTCAAATTTGCGACAGTTGGATAATTTCTTATTCATGAATTATTTAATTTAGTTTTTGATTTTTCAATTTTTAATTAATTATAATTTGTTGAAGAGAACATCACTACAAAAAATTTATGGATCCGCCGGTTACTGAACGCATCTGCAGCTTCTGAAAGCGTTTTGATGATTGTTAAACTTTAAAAGGCAATTTTCACTACATTTATTATTACTAGTACTACTTCACCTTCCGAATTCCTTTATTCTTCCCTCCTCTGAACCTTGCGTCATTTTTTACACCTTACCCGTGCATCCCCTTGTTGCAACGAACAGGATCAGAGAAGAAGGTCGGCGATGATCTTGACCATGACTCATTGGGCGCCACGATCTTGGCCCAACTACCTTCTGCTACTGATCTGAACAGCATCGGGCTCAAATTCAGTGGCAAAACAGGCGACCTTAGGATTGAGTTCGACGAGGGAAACAAGACCATCACCATCCCAACGTTTAGGTGGAACCCTTACAGTGAAGTAGTGATAAGAAACCTGGTGATCTATGAAGCCATGGCGAAGCCCAACCCATCCTCATATTTGGGTAGCAATAACAGCAATGATGATGTCTTACTACTCATACAGTACATTCATTTTATGCACATGATCACAAGACAACCAAGTGACATCCGGTTTCTGATGGATGCCGGTGTGATCGAGCAGTCGGAGGAGACGCGTCGAATTCTAGGCATGTTCCATTCACTCTGCACCTGCTGCAGCTCCGCGAACACACTCCTGGACGACAACTTGAAGCTTGCTCTGAACAGACATTGCCGCGGCACCGTGTACAGAGCAGTCAGGAGTTACTATTGTGCCCGACGCAGCGTTGTGGTGCGCAAGTACTCGCAGCTTTTCGCGTTCTGCTTTGCCTTGGTTGTAGTACTACCATTCTCACTGATTCTTTTCCTCAACAGTTTTATTGGTGGTGTTTGTCAGTTCATCAAATTTTATGTTGCTGCAACCAGTGGGAGCGGCAGCAGTTGCATTGCAAGCAACATTGCCATGTTTGTTAACGACAGTAGTGTTGTTGTCGCATCAATGGATGATTTGGGTTTACGGTAAGCTGTAATAGGGTTGATGAAGTTATTTCTATGTAAAAGAAATCGCCTTGGATTGAGAATTTGGGTGAGGAAATAAACAGACTTTTGGCTTGTAAGTGTCATTTGACCCAAGGCCATTCTCTAAATGTCACCTTCGGTGACTGTTCTTCCCCAGAAATGCATGTTAACAAACTGATCGGGAATTAAACATGAATTGAACTGAACTGAACAATGAACACAGACGGTTTACGTGGTATCCCTGATGATGAAGATTAATCCACGGGAGAGCTTTGGAACGCTCTCCAGGCTACTGGTATTATTAGATGTGACGGCTTAAAGAAACCAAAGGAACCAAGTTCAACATATATACATCATCTTACAAAGGAGAAGGGTCTCGGCCGAACCCTAGCATCTGGAAAATGGGAACAATGCAAGGGTTGCATCATGCATGGGCCGAAATAAATGAGAGAGTGGGCTCGTGTGGATCGTGGACTATGTACAATGAAAAACGAAACTACACTGTTTAACAGCCTCCCTCAAATTGATGCGGGTCGCAAAGCATCAATTTGCTTGACAGGTACCAATGACGACTGGAGGAAAAAGACTTGGTGAGTAGATCAGCAGGCTGTTCGGCAGTGGGTAGGTAATGAAGAGTCAGAGTACCATCACGAACATAGTGCACATGAATCTCAATGTGCTTGGTGCGATCACTACAACAAATTCGGCCTCTTAGGACAAAAATTTTATTTTGTCATTTTCTGTTTGTCACAATAGGTACGATGATATGACAAAAATAATATATGTCCTATTTGGTATCTCTAATGTGACAAGAAAAATTATTGTCAGAATAAGTCGTCATTTAAAGTGAGTAATGTGACAAATATTTCGTGTCACAATTAATTTTGTCAAAATAGGCGTCCCATCGGGATGTAAGAGACTCAAAAGTGACAAATTTCTTGTTGTCAGAATAGTTCATCATTTAAAGTGAGTAATGTGACAAATAGTTCGTGTCACAATTAAGTTTTTCAAAATAGGCATCCCATATCAAAATGTAAAGAACACAAAAGTGACAAATTATATCGTCACAATTCAGTTTCCCCACCCAAATTTCGGTCTCGCCCAATTTTTAACTATCTACTTTTCAATCCCTCCCAATTTTTAGAACCAAATTTTCAGCCCGCCCAAAACTTGAAATTTCCTCTCCCCAACTAAATTTTCATTACGCCCAAAAAATTAATAATAAAAAATTTATCAAATGGGACCAAAACAGACCCAAACGGGTTTTCTTCATCCATCGACAGTTCGACCTAAACAAGCCTGTCATTTCTCCAACCTACAGACTCCAGTTCCACCATTGTATCCCGACGCCGCCGCCTACCTACACTCCTGATTCTCGATCAGCAACCATCGACCCCGACGCCTCCAACTTCTCCTTCTCCCGACCATCGGACCCTGTGGTTGTGGATTCTCTGGAAACTCTAGACCCACCTTCAGAAATTGAAAACAAGGACAAGGACTGAGAGAAGAGGAAACCCACCTCTCGCTCTTCTCGTGTTGGTCGTTAGGTTTCCCCCATCTTCTTCTCTTCTAGATCTTGCCCCCTCTCTGTTTTCTCGGTTCTTCTTTTCCATTGTTCTCGCTCTCTGAGATTTCGTTCATCTGGGTTTGATTTACTTGTCTCATCTTTGGTTCTGGGGATTTTTTTTTGTATATTGGGTGTGTTTACGATAGAAGAATGTAATGGAATCTCGCTTTAATTCGAAGTCAAATAGCCTGAGTTTCCCTCTGTATATTTCTCTCTGAGATGTGGTGGAATCTTACTTTAACTAGAATTCAAATAGCAGAGTCGGTTGGAAATAGGCTTCTCAAGTCTGCTTGCTTATCTTTTAGTGTAAAATAGCTTGAGTTAAATTGTGGTTTTCTAGACCTCTTTGTTGTTTGAATCCTTCCAAGATTTTGAAGACAGAGATGCGGTGCCCTTGATTTGTAAGGAGTCTTTGAGGTCATTATATGCAGCATGCCTTGTTCTGTGTGGAGTTTTTGCATTTTGGATTTGCTAAATGTGAACAGTGGCTTGATGTGTGCATCCCTTTATTCATATGTCTATAAACTAGTGGTAATTTTGGTATGTTATGTTATTCAGATTAATTGAAAATGGCTTCAGAAATATATGAAGCCAATGAATTATCTGAGGAAGTGGAGGAGCATGACAATTGAAGGGATGCCAAGAGGTTGGTAGCATCTTAAATCACCATTCTAAAATGCTTTTGGTTCTGGAACTCCCTCAACAGTAGCTTGAGTTTGTGGAGGATTAGGTATGTGCCTTGAATCAGTTTTCATTTCTGCATAGTATGTGTAAGAGTACTGTAGTAGATAGATAACTACTACTGATGGTGTTATGCTAAGCCTTTATCTCTAGAAAGAAGCTGGTGCTCCTCAAGAAGCTAAGGAATTTAAGTTCCCCACCTAACACACAAATTACCCATTCCATTAGTGAATTTAATATATTATATTTAGATAAGATGGGTCACAATTTTGATGTAAATGTCCTTTTTCTCTCCCTGGACATACGTGGGGTTGTTGATGGGTGATAGGGAGAGATGCAGAGGGATGTACAAAAGGGAAATTGAGGGTTAGTTACTTTGGGTTTCTAACAAGTACTAGGTTTGTGTAAGTAGAAGTTAATTTGGTTGGTTGGGAATTATAGGTTGGGTTCGAGGTGAAGAGTGTGAATTGTGCTAATCAATGGATGGGATCATTGAAGTCAAAGAAAGTTCAATAAGAAGGGAAGGGAAGGCAGCTAAGAAGGGTCTCCAGGTAAATGGGTTATGGTGTTCTTACCACTGATTGTGCAGGAATTGATGTTAAAGCAATTGCTTATAGGTGCTTGAAGATAAATGTATGAGCCAACTTAGCAATTTGTGACGAGGAAGACATTTGGTCGAATTGTGTGGTAACAGAGTTGTCTCAACCTGTGATAGATTTCAGCTGCTGGGTATGATAGATAGGGATTTTCCGAGCGACCTAGGCAAAACTATGTGAATTCATTGTCATGAATTGCCTTGTTTCATATGATTAGTTCATAGCAAACCATGTGAACTATATCATTAACATTTTTGTTCAATGTCTAGCTGGAGATGCAGTCCATTTGGATAGAAGCAAAGGCAGAGGGGAAGCTTGTATCAAGCCGTGAGATTGTTCAGAAGGTCCTGAAGAAAAAGGTGAAGTATGGACCGAAGGAGAGCCCAAGATCCACAAAGGAGTTAGAATGTTTTGTGTCATGGTCGAAAACTTGGAATGTTTGGTTATGGTGAACAAGGAGTTAGACTGCTATGGAAATGGTTGTAATGTTTTGGATCTTTGGTAATCTTTCTATTATCAGGTTGCAATGCAGGAAACATTGAGTTAAAACCACCTTTCCTGACAACCTATACTCATCATAATATGCAGTTATGACAAAATATATTCGTCATATATTGAGTTATTACAAAATAGAGTCGTCACAATAAAAACTTGTGACAACATGTAGTCGTCACAATATAAAGTTATGACAAAATATAACAGTGTAATATGACGAAAAATTTTACCAAAATCACCAGATTATGACAACTGTAATGACAAAATATGTCGTCATAACATCTTTGTTTGTCACAATAGACTACACAGAACCTCGGCTATACTGAAAGCAAATGTGATAAACTTGTTTTAATTTTTTGTCATATTTGATCTATCTTGACGGCGATAAAATGACAAACCTTTGTGACAACACATTTTGTCATATTATACATAATATGACAAAATGGCCATATAATATGACAAAATTGCCTCGTCATAATAGGCCAAATTTGTTGTAGTGGATCATGGAGCACCGGATTAACCGCAATACGAATAGCACTCGTATTATCCACAAATAACTGCATAGGTGCTGGACACTGGATACCGAGATCAGCGAGGAGACGCCGGAGCCAAACGATCTCAGAAGTGACTTCAGACATGGACCTATATTCTGCCTCAATGGAGGATTTCGAAACCTTGTCTTGCTTCTTACAGCACCAAGATATGAAAGCAGGACCATACTGAACACACCAGCCCGAAGTAGAACGGCGGGTATCCACGCACCCAGCAAAATCAGAATCAGAATAAGCTCGAAGTTCAGCAGAGCCACCCGCTGGAAATAAAAGACCGACCTCACGAGTGCCTTGGAGATACCGGAGAATGCGATGGACGGCGGCGAGATGATCAGTACAAGGCGTAGCCATGAACTGACTAACAACCTGTACAGCGTAGGAGATGTCGGGACGAGTCGCAGCAAGATAAATAAGACTCCCAACAATGTTGCGGTAAGAACGACCATCAGGTAATGGGTCACCAGCATCACATCAAAGGGACAGGTTAAGTTCCATGGGTGTAGAAACCGACTTGGAATCGTCG